ATTGTGTTTCCATAAACCCAGGGCTTTGCGCATTCAATCCTGCTGTCTGCACCCCTTACCCTGTCCCCAAACTGCTCATCAGGCATGGGGTCCACTGTTCTCCTCTTGAAAGTTTGTTCCTCCCCCCTCCAGGGCCTCAGCCTTGTTCTCTCAGGCCCCTGGTCTTCTGGGCTATTACTGCACTGGGACTTCCTCTGGGAAATAGGTTGGGTCACAATGTTCTGTGCACAGCAGGTGCCGGGTTGGCCCAACTGGACTTTGTGCACAGAGGCTGTGACTTGCAGCAGTTGGCTCCAAGGCCATGCCTGCTACTACTTCTTGCCTTTGCAGTCTCTGTGGCCCTTCTGCAAATGGCCACACCCCCTTCCCCAGGGCTGGGGTGGCTAAGCAACCAACAAGCCGACAACTTCCTTTCCTACCTCCTAGTCTGCACCTCCTGGCTTCTCACCTGTGTTTTGGGGGTGGTCAGTTCTAATTCCATTATGTTTCTCAGTAAGCCAAAGAAAAACCTGCATCATTAATTGGCTTGAAGATCCTAAATACTATTTAAATTTTTTTAAAAACCCTATTAATTGTTGGACATACCAGTGAAATTCCTGGTTGTTATGGTGATCCTCTGACATCTCTCTCTTGCAGATTAGAAACTCACATTTTCTGAAGTCTGGCTGCCCTGGAAACAAGTCTTGGCTTTTGGCCAAGCATCCTCCGCCTCAAACAGGAAGGGGGTCTGGAGGTGACATTTTTTGGTGCCAACTGTCAGAAGTGAACCAACTTTTCCATGGCAGGTCCTGGAGTAGTGTGTGTATGTGTGTGTGTGTGTGTGTGTGTGTGTGCACATGTGAGCACTTCTAGATTTAGATGTGCTCTTCCAATATGGGGTGACATAGACGGCCAAAAGCCCCATTCAAGTAAGGTACCAGTGGCTCATGCCTGTAATTCTAGCTAGAGGATTGCAGTTCAAAGCTAGTTGGGGCAGGAAAAGTCTGTGAGACTCTGATCTCCAATTAAACCCCCAGAAAACTGCAAATGGAGCTGTGGCTCAAAGTAGTAGAGTGCTAGCCTTGCGTAAAAAGAGCTCAGAGCCTAGGCTCTGAGTTCAAGCTCCAGGACTGACCAAAAAGAAAAAGAAAAAGAAAAAAGAAAGCCCTATCCAGGCAGCCTGCTTGCATCAGAAATAATCACATCTTCCCATTCAATCTATTGCTGCTTTGCATTTTCTTCCTTGTCAAAAGCTGAGTGGAATTCAGTGGTACTCTATGGTTTTTGCCTTCTGTCTGTTTGTCCTCTCTCTTTTTTTTTTTGTCAGTTGTGGGGCCTGAACTCTGGGCCTGGGTGCTGTCCCTGAGCTCTTCAGCTCAAGGCTAGCGCTCTACCACTTGAGCCACAGCGCCACTTCCGG